TGGCTTGGATTCATGGAGGACGGTGCCATTCACACTGGAGGGAACACAGGAGTGAGGCTCAAGGGAAGCACATAAGCTCCCTGAGGCCCTACAGCCAGCACCACGGCAGGTTTGCTGGAAGCGCTCTGGAAATGGTCACTGTGCTAACGGAGCAGCATGAACAGGGCAGAAACAGAGGTACAGACAGAGGAGGCCAGGGGGCAGATACGTGGCACAGAAGACCCCGAAAATGTCAGACCCAGGAGGGACTCCATGTACAGACCAATGCGCCTCAGGCAGCAGCTGAGACTGCACAGCAACTCGGCAGGAGGGAGCCCGGATCTCCTCCCCCAAGTCCAAGGCCCTCTCTCTCCTCTTCCCCTCTTGTGAGCTCCACACACAGTGGCTCCCTTGGCTTCCCCTAGTTTGGTTTCAAATATCAGGCTCATGCCAGTGACAGCAGGCTACAAGCCTATCCAAGCGCACAGTGAAAGCTGGGGCAGCCATGAAGGAGAAAGTGTCCAGGACACCCCTCCTGGCATAGCCGCTGCAGACAAGGCCTTGCCACCACATATGTGCACATGCCCTGAGAGACCCATGGAGGCCTCCCTCCCCATGCTCCCAACCCAAGAGGTCCAGTGCTCTCTGGCCAGGTCATGTGCTCCTCTCTGGGGACTCCAACACTTGAGAAACCACTGCTGTGACAATGGCAACTGAGGCAGCCACAGGACAAACAGAGCACCGGAAAGACTGAGAGCTCCATTGATAAGATTCATCGTCACATGTGCACCAGGTGTTCCAGCTCCCAAGGCACATGTCCGATAACAGGTGAGAACCATCAGATGCTTTCTATCCACCCTGCTTGGATCCTAGGATCTCACGTATATCATCTCTGGTGCCCTCAGAAACTCTAAGAAGCAGACAGTATGGTTGTCTTTCCACAACTGAGTAAACTGAGGTTCACAGACATCAACTAACTTGCCCAAAATGTCACAGCTACGAAACAAGAGAAGCTGAGTCAGACCGAGGCCTTACCACCCCACAATCCCAGACACCATCACACCAGTCCCAGGATTTTCTGACTCCTGGTTCCAGGGCAGTTTTTACCACCTCACAAACTTGTTTTTAGTGAGTTTTCAAAAACCCAGTGGAACAATTAAATAAGATAATTTGCATGCAGGTATACTTTATGTGGAAAAGCACCATTATAAATGCAAGGCATGGCTATTATTCTTTTCTTAATTCAGGTCACAAACTTTTCTTCTGCCAATATTGCACTAAAAATAAACAAACACATTACCATCGATCATCACCGTTGTTTCTTAAAAGGAAAAGCATTTTAATGCCAAAAACAGGCAGGACATAATTGTAGAATTATGTGAAAAGGAGTCCTCTCTATTGAATACATTCAACATATGGAAAAACTCATTACAGTGTTATTATTTTCCTCACTGCTGAAAATGTTGGGTTCACTGGGGCATCCCCAACCTAGACGACCTCCAAGGTACCATTTCAGCTCCAAAATTCATCTGCATATATGATGCCATTCTTTGCTAAATAAAAACATTCTTTTTTGTTTTTTTTGAGACCGAGTCGTGTTCTGTTACCCAGGCTGGAATGCAGTGGCGGGATCTTGGCTCACTGCAACCTCTGTTTACCGGGTTCAAGCAATTCTCCTGCCTTGGCCTCCCGAGTAGTTGGGATTGCAGGTGTATACCATCATACCCAGCTAATTTTTGTATTTTTAGTAGAGATGGGATTTCACCATGTTGGCCAGGCTGGTCTCAAACTCCTGACCTCAGGTGATCCACCTACCTCTGACTCCCAAAGTGCTGGGATTACAGGCATGATACTGCTCCTGGCCTAATAAGAATATTGCTTTTTGTTTTGAGACAGAGTCTCACTCTGTAGCCCAGGCTGGAGTGGAGTGGTGTGATATCGGCTCACTGCAACCTCCACTTTCTGGGTTCAAGTGATTCTCCTGCCTCGGCCTCCCAAATAACTGAGACTACAGGCACGTGACACCACGCCAGGCTAATTTTTTGTAATTTTATTAGAGACGGGGTTTCGCCTTGTTAGCCAGGATGGTCTCGATCTTCTGACCTCGTGATCCACCTGCCTTGGCCTCCCAAAGTGCTGGGATTATAGGTGCGAGCCACCGCGGCCAATCCAATAGGAACATTCTTAAGGAACAGAATTTGATGACAACTTTTAGTAATAGAATTCTAACTAAAATCTATAACTGGAAAAAAAAAAAAAAGACTTTGCCTCTATTTAAACACAATTTTTTTTTTCAGCCAGGTCCAGAGGTCACTAAACATCTCATCAATTCAACTGTGTCTGTGGAAAACGGAGCTGTGATTTGGCATCCTGGAGATAAGCCCCGCGTCGGGTGGCCGTTCTTGCTTCAGGGCTGCCTCTGTGGCTTCCTTTGGCTAAATGCCCAGAAGGGGAGATGATGGGTTCTTCTCCTCTCCTGCATTCCTGGGGAATGTGGTGACACCCCTGTATTAATCGTGCTTGTTATTTTATAATGTTTTGACATCTCGGGAGCCTCACTGGCCAGGAAGAGACAGCCCCTCCCAGGGCTGGCTAATTCCTAGAGATAATAACCACTCCCTTTGAGGGTACCTTTCACAGGCAGATGAGCCCATCCCAAACCCATATCCCTAACCACCTTCTCTGTCTAACTCTCACCCACCAAGACAATATTTCCCTGGCCCTAAATCACCCCAAGGCCAGCTACCAGACAACAAGACACCAGCCCTAGAGCCCAGAGACCTCGACACTCAAATCAGCCAGCCCTACATGGTTCTCCTTTTCTGTCCTGCCTTTCCTGCAGAAAACCCAACAAGGGCTCTGGGCCTTGCAGCTTTGGGGGACCCAGTCCACTCTACCCACCAGGTCCCCATGCTCAGGCCTGTGGCTGCTCTCCAACCTCTTTCCTCACTTAGTTGCTGTTCTGAGGTAAAGACATCTATGACACTAGCCTTCCTATGACTTGGAATCCAGCCTTGAGTTGGATTCCTGGCTCTTCAGTCTCCTGACCAAACCCAGTGCTTTCCCTGTGGCCCTGGGTGGTGTGGGCCCCATCTCTTGAAACCTGTGCTGAAAATCTTTTTTTTTTTTTTTTTTTTGAGACTGAGTCTCACTCTGTTGCCCAGGCTGGAGTGCAATGGCACAATGTCAGCTCACCACAACCTCCGCCTTCCAGGTTCTAGCAATTCTCCTGTCTCAGTCTCCTGAGTAGCTAGGACTACAGGCGCATGCTACTATGCCCGGCTAACTTTTGCATTTTAGTAGAGACAAGGTTTCACCATGTGGACCAGGCTGGTCTCGAACTCTTGAGCTCAGGCAATCCACCTGCCTCAGCCTCCCAAAGTACAGGGATTACAGGCGTGAGCCACTGTACCCAGACAAATCTTTTGATGACATGAACCTCTCCACATGCTCAGTCACCTCTATATATTAAAGACCCACAGGTACATTTTAACACGGTCCCCTTGTGCTGAGCTCAGTTCCTTATACCTACAAGCCTCAGGAAAGAGAACTGCCCTCTCTCTGCCCTGCCCTGTCCATGGCCTGATGCCCCTGTGGCCTGGGCCTTGGGGTGCCGTTGACAAAGACATTCACACCTACCGGCCCCTGAAGGACTTTGTCTATGAAATTTCCATTGAATGTTAGAAGCAGAATAAGATTCTCCAGGTAGAGTACAGTCGCTCACACCTGTAATCCCAGCACTATGGGAGGCCAAGGTGGGCAGATCACCTGAGGTCAGGAGTTCCAGACTAACTCAGCCAACATGGCAAAACCACGTCTCTACTAAAAACACAAACATTAGCCGGGCGTGGAAGTGGGAGCCTGTAATCACAGCTACTCAGGCGGCTGAAGCAGGAGAATCACTTGAACCTGGGAGACAGAGGTTGTAGTGAGCTGAGATCGCGCCATTGAACTCCAGCCTGGGCGACAGAGCAAGAGAAGAAAAGAAAGATTCTCCCACAGGGGATGCCTGTTCACCCACTCAAGGCTAGATTACAGGCCACAGGAAGGCTGGTGTCACAGGTGCCTCCACTCAGGTACTAGCAATTGAGGGATGAAACTGAGGGATGAAAGAGCTTGCAGGGCAACCACAGGCCTGAGCCTGGGGAGGTGGTGGGCAGAATGGACTGACCACCCCCCTGCAAAGCTGCAACCACAGATAAAGGGAGCAGGAGAGAGAAGTCAGGAAAGTTCTGAGCACAACCCTGCCCCAAAGATATGTGGGCTCCTCTCCTGACCCAGCCACATGTGAAAGGCAATACCACCAACAGCAAAGACATCTGGCCCAGACATTGGCCACTGAGTCCTCCCAGAAAGGCGTCCTGAGGTCACTATATCAGCAAATGGACACATCTTGACCAAGTCTTTCCTGGGTCCAATACTGTGCTCATCTCTCTGAGACAACGCAAGGGGAAGGAAATCTGGAGATGCCTGTATAACACAGAGGACAAGGACTCCGCCACAGGGCCACAGGCTTTGTAGAGAGGCAGCCTCTTCATGGAGCAATACTGAGGATTGTCACCCCTGGCACATCCCTGAATGAGGTATCTCTGAACATGGTGTCATGGTGACTGACACCATGAGACCATCAGTAGTTCCTGGGAGCTGTATTGCCCATAGGGGATGGACACAGGAGTGGTGTTCCCCATTCCTGTCCTCCTCTCTCTGTCCCCACGCCATGATCTCATCTGCTCGGCTGAGCTCACGCTCCCAGCCCACCAGCCTCCACCCCTCACTCTGGCCCTGTGGAATCCCCAGAGAGGAGGACGTGAGCTGGCCTGAGCTGCCAGTGATAGGAACTCAGGAACCCTAAGGGCTCAGTTCATGGGGTAGAGAGTGGCCCAGACTTAGGCTGAATGACCCCATGCTCTCTGGTCCTGCCTGTAGAAAGATGACAGGGATCCTGCCACCGTTCCAGGCTCCAACAAGCTTGGACCCACCCAAGGGGAAGAAATGACCCTATGGGGTCAGGCTTGACTCACGCTGCTTCTCCTGGAGGATGCTGGATGTGCATGGTGCGGTCCCTTCTCCTGCAGAAAAAGAAAAGAATTGTGAGCAGATCCCTGTCACTGTTGCCAGGCACTGGATTTCCTAGGGAGGCTGCTTGTAGTTGCCTCTGCCCCTCACTCTGGAGCTTGGGATGGGCAGAGGTATCTCCCACCACATCATGCCCTGCTCTGCCCTGCCCTGACCCAGCCCTTGGCTCTGCATGCCACACCTGATGCCTGGTGAGAGCATGGCCTGGCTCTTCTGCCTCCTTGGGCCTTTCCACCTCTGTCTCCTCCCTCCTCTGTAAAGCAGCTGCTTTGCAGGAGTTGCCTACCTCTCTATACTCACTCTCTCCTCTGAGGGTCAGCATTGAACTCCAAACCCACAGACCACTGCCAGGGCTCTGCCTCTGGTCCAGGCCTCTCTCCTTAGTTCTGGATCTGCACATCCCACTGCCCCCCGGACACCTCCTGTGGCGACTCCTAAACACTGCACACTCCCCAGGAACAAAGCTTCCGCAGAAGTTCCCTCCCAAAACGTGTCTGCATCTTCCTCTAGGACCCCAGTTCTCTGAGGAAGGGTTCCAAGGCAGAAAGCAAAGTCACATCCTGGTCTCCCCTAGGGACTCGAGAACTCTTCCCCATGCAAAGTTACCTAGTTTCTTCCCCTGCAGGATCAGGATCCAATGGCAACTCCAGTCTAGGAAGGTCCTCCATCTCCGCCACCCACACTCCGGGGTCTTGTGGATGACTCCTTTCCTGACCCCGTGCCTGCCTCCCATATGAAACTTCTCCAGATGTGCCCATCAGAATCTGTTACCCTGTTTCTGTGGCCCTTTGTCTGCCAAGGCCACCTTCATGGCCCCTGTCCTCTGAATCCTGGGATCCTGGCCCCTGGGCTTTCTCAAAAACAGGCAAGGGTAAATAGTGGGAGGAGCGTACAGTTGGAGGCTGGAGGCTGACTCTGTTTCAGGCTCCCTCTGGCCTGCTGTGTGACATGAGGCACATCACTCTCCCTCTCTAGGCTCATTCCTACAAAATAGCAAGGATCCAGTGCTCTCTAACAACCTCAAAGTCCTGAAAGGCCTTGAGTGGCCTGCATTATGATTGGCTACCTGGATTCAAATGCCAGTTTCTTCGCTTATGAACCATGGACCCTTGGGCAAGTTTCACAACCTGTATAAGCCTCAGTCTTCTAATCTATAAAATGGGGATGGTACTGGTACCTGCCTCAGAGGATTACTGTGGATATTAAATAATTAATATTTGTAAAGCTGGCTGGGCACAGTGGCTCATGCCTGTAATCCCAGCACTTTGGGAGACAGAGGTGGGCAGATCACCTGAGGTCAGGAGTTTGAGACCAGCCTGGCCAATATGGTGAAACCCCATCTCTACTAAAATACAAAAATTAGCTGGGCATGGTGGCACACACATGTAATCCCAAAGCTACCAGGGAGGCTGAGGCAGGAGAATCACTTGAACCTGGGAGGTAGGGGTTGCAGTGAGCTGAAATCATGCCACTGCACTCCAGCCTGGGCAACAGAATGAGACTCAGGCTCAAAAAATAAAATATAATATAATATATATGTATATATATATATATATGTAAAGCCTTCAGAACACAGCCAGGTACATAATGGGTATTCAATAAGTGAGGATTGCTCTGATTCTTGGTTGGTTTTTTGAGATGGAGTCTCCCTCTGTCAGCAGACTGGAGTGCAGTGGCATCATCTCGGCTTACTGAAAACCCCACCTCCCAGGTTCAAGCGATTCCTCTGACTCAGCCTCCCGAGTAGCAGGGACTACAGGCGCCCACCACCACACCTGGCTAATTTTTTGTGTTTTAGTAAACAGAGTTTCACCATGTTGGCCAGGCTGGTCTTGATCTCCTGACCTCATGATCCACCTCGGCCTCCCAAAGTGCTGGGATTACAGGCGTGGGCAACCACGCCCAGCCCTGATTCTTGTTTTATTTACTTGTTTACTTCTAACAATTGATGTAAGACCTTGTCCCTTTTGTCTTCATCACGATCCCAGGTGGAGCCAGATAGAGAGAATCAATGACTAATGTTAGATGCCAGCTCACAGCACTCCCCAGGTCCAGGGCCTGTGACAAAGCCTAGGCCCAAGAAGGGGCCCAGATAGAGAACAGAGACCTGGACACCCTCATAGAGCCGTCCCTACACAGCACAATAGGGTGGACACAGGCTGTTTCCCAGGTGCAAGAGCAGCACAGGTGTGGACAGAAACACACCTTAGCTTGGCGCACATGCACACACACACACACACACACACACACACACAGGCCCCACCAGCACCCAGGTTCCTCCTCCTGCCGACAAACCATGCTGTGAGTAACAGTTGGAAAGCTGAGTCAAGCATCTGCCCTTCCCAGGGCAGATGGCCCCATCCAGGTAGACAGGGAGCAAAGACCAGCATCAGGTCTGAGCACCAGCCAAGGCCTATGACACTTCGGTGCCCCCAAAGAAAGTCAGCTTCAGCCAGCCGTGGTGGCTCACTCCGGTAGTCCCAGCCCTTCAAGAGTCCGAGGCAAGTGGATCATGAGGTCAGGAGTTTGAGACCAGCCTGGCCAACATAGTGAAATCCCATCTCTACTAAAAAAAATACAAAAAATTAGCTGGGCATATTGGTGGGCACCTGTAATCCCAGGTACTTGGGAGGCTGAGATAGGGGAATCACTTGAACCTGGGAGGCGGAGGTTGCAATGAGCCGAGATCGTACCACTGCACTCCAGCCTGGGTGGCAGTGTGAGACTCCTTCCCAAAGAAAAAGAAAGAAGGAAAGTCAGCTTCAACCACCCAGCAGAACCAGGGCCTAGCAGAGAAATTAAGACACGCATTCAAAAAAACACCTTCTACGGGTCAAGCCCTGTGCTAGGGACTGTAGCGATGAGTAGTCGGTGTGAGTGTAAAAGCAAGAGCACCTCTGTGCAGAACAGCCACCGCTAACTTCAGTGAGAGGCAAGGCCAGCGGAGAGAAAGGGAAGGGGGAAATACTCATCCTGACGGAGGACCCCAAGGAAGCATGTGCCAGTGCAGAGATTTGAGTTTTGGCAGCAGAGAAAACGGCAGGGCATTCCAAGCAGCCAGCAAGATCATGTGTATAGAATGTCAAGTTCAAGGCAAAGTGAGGGTGTGAGAGAGCACGGCCTTGGGAAGGAAACCCATCCACAGATGAGAAATCCAAGGCCTGAAGAGGTGAAGGGACTTGCAGACGCTTCCAAATCCAAACTTCCTGCTTTTTCTATCATACTCTACCTAAAACCAGCTGCATAATTAGGAAGGTCCCCTGCAAAGAGAAAATGGAGGGTCCCTTCTGCAAACAGAAAAAAAATGTTGCTAAAGGTACTGAAATATGACGTTTTCCTTTTTTCTGAGGATGCTCTAAGACCTGTCATGGTGTTTTCTACTTGCGACTTAACATTGTGTTTCCAGGCCAGGTACGGTGGCTCATGCCTGTAATTCCAGCACTTCGGGAGACCAAGGCAGGAGGATCACCTGAGGTCAGGAGTTAGACATCAGCCTGGCCAACATGGCGAAACCCATCTCTACTAAAAATACAAAAAAATTAGCCAGGCATGGTGGGGCACACCTGTAATCCCAGCTACTCAGGAGGCTGAGGCAGAAGAATCACTTGAACCTGGGTGGTGGAGGTTGCAGTGAGCTGAGATCACACCACTGCACTTCAGCCCAAGCGACAGTGACACTCTGTCTCAAAAACAAACAAACAAATAATCACTGTGTTTCCTCATGCCCAGGAATACTAAAGGGATGAGTACAGGACCCCCCAGGACCCCAGAACTCCTGCTCCTTAGCCTGGCGCACACACACACACACACACACACACACACACAGGCCCCACCTGCACCCAGGTTCCCCCTCCTGCTAGCCACTGGGCTGACAAACCATGCCATGAGTGACAGTTGGAAGGTTGAGCCAAGCATCTGCCCCTCCCAGGACAGATGGCCAAATCCAGGTAGACAAGAGTATTGCAATATCCATGCTGAAATGCACTAGGTAAATGAGAGGTATTTTCCCTCTGAATCACCCTTGGAATGTTCTATGGCACTGCCAGCCCAGGGTGGAGACAGCTGCCTTGCCCCAAGACATGGTGGAATATGAGCACTGAACCTCAGCCCTACCTGTACCCAGGCTCTGGCTTGGAGGGAGGCCAGCAGGGGCAGGGAGAAGAAAGCTGGGGGGATGGGGCTGAGAAGCCAGAGGCCAGGAGAGCAGAAGGCCAAGATCCCAGGAGGCTTCAAGGCGGCAGGAGGCAGGACCATGTGAGAGCTGCCTACCAAGTCCCCTGCACATATGCACTGTCCCATCAGACTTCACTTACAAAACACAAACTTGGCTGGGTGCAGTGGCTCACGCCTGTAATCTCAGCACTTTGGGAGGCCAAGGCGGGTGGATCACCTGAGGTCAAGAGATCAAGACCATCCTGGCCAACATGGTGAAACCCCATCTCTACTAAAAATACAAAAATTAGTCCGGCATGGTGGCATGCACAATTCTAGCTACTAGGGAGGCTGAGGCAGGAGAATCACTTGAACCTTGAAGTCAGAGGTTGCAGTGAGCCAAGATCATGCCACTGCACTCCAGCCTGGTGACAGAGTGAGACTCCATCTCAAAAACAAAACAAAACAAACAAAGAAACCCCCACAAACTTGAAGATAACCACCATTCAGACTTCAAAACAGTAAACTCGATAGCTGGGACCCTCTGGAGCACTGGCCACGAGCCCTGACTGTAACACAGAGGCTTCTGGCATTTCTTGGGCATCTACTCTGTGTCAGACCCTGGAGGAGGGGAGGACTCCAGTGCAGGGAGGGGCCAGGTCTGAGCCATTACTTCCAGGTTCTCAGGCCAGGCCTGTAGTGCTCCTCACAGAGACAGTTTATGAGTTCTCCACACCATCCAATACTTTGATTACCAGGGAGTAAATATGACTTGGTCGGGGCAGGGTGTCCTGAGGTGGGAATGCATGGTGGGGAGGCGGGCAAGGATCAGAGCTGGGGT